TTTGCTTCGATTGTGTATAGAAACAGACAATATTTTTAAGTGGACGCAGCATGAGGCACGCATCACCAAAACAACAATAATAACAACATAAACTCGTTCAACTACATACAAAACTGCGCAAGTAATTATTGTCATTAAAAGAAAGACCGCGCCAAAGGAGGAAGCAAATGATACATGGAAATTAAATATTTAATGCATAAAACATTTATTTGAATAAATTGAGTTATGGTATTTTTTTGTGAATTATGTAATATTGAGAAAAAGCGAGATGAAGAAACATACTTAGGCTCAAAGGTAGTTGGTGTATTTGTTAACCGTAAAAAAAATCTTCCGCAATAATATTAAAAAAATATTAATAGCTCACATATTTCGCGCATGTGCGCAAACGCATGACAAACTGTTAAGTATAAATATTTATGTGCTTTCAATGTATATTATATATTTGAAAAAATGTGCGTAACAGTTTTATTTTTTATCTTTTTATCTTCGTTTACACAGAAAAGCAGTGAAGTGCTTGATAGACATTTGTGACATACATATATATATCGTAGATGTATTGGGTCTCTGTGTCAAACACGAAGTTCGTTGCTTAAGTCTTTAGTTGAAGGTCTTTTTGTGGTATGGTATGCAATCTTATCAGCTTTGAGATGTGTTGACTAAATACGCAAACACTCAGGGGTATTTTTTTTTGCGGTACCAAAAGGCCTAAATGACCAAAGAGTCTCACTATCACATGAACTGAAAGCCAAAATACCGGATTGAATTAATCCCTATGGGATTTAAAAATAACTTAAATTATAAATAAAATTATTTGAATTATTTTTGATAAAAATTTCACTTTTTCCATATAATTTCAAGTTATCTTTGTTGTTGTTTATTTTTCTACTTTCAATGTCATTTGTGCAACCTGTAATGACTTTTGCAACTGTGATACTTTATAGTTGTTATAACCAAATTTAATTTGATATCACTGACATAAATACCATACAAACACACGCGCCTAAGCATCGACTTGCAATAAATAAAAAAATTGATTTAAGTATTGACAAATTAGTCCGGAGTTGTTTTTGAAGTGTCAGTCTTAACTCTTGGCTCTCACTAATGATCGGAAAAGTAAGTTTCAACTTGAAAAAATAAAACAAAAATAAAATAAAATAAATAATATAAATAAAATGATATAAAATAAGAGAAAATAAAGTTAAATAATATAAAATAAAATAAAATAAAATAAAATAAAATAAAATAAAATAAAATAAAATAAAATAAAATAAAATAAAATAAAATAAAATAAAATTAAATTAAATTAAAATAAACAAAATAAAATAAAATAAAATAAAATAAAATAAAATAAAATAAAACGAAACAAAATAAAAAATAAATTAAAATGAAGTAAAATAAAATTAAATTAAATGATATAAAATAAAATAATATAAAATGAAGTGAAACTAAATAAAATAAGTGAAATTAAAGTAATATAAAATAAATGAAAATAAAATAGAAAATAAAAATATACCAACAAAAAAAAAATAAAATAAAGTGATATAAAAAAAATAAATGAAAACAGAAAAATCTTCACTGCTGCAGTCTCCAACTTTGTGCGGTTGATTGATTGATAAAATAAATTGATAGCTTATCGGCTTATCATTAGTGATGCAGACGTGTACAAATCAATAAAAAGTGAGGAATTGCAGTTTTATGTAGTAGACGAAAGAGAATAGTGATGACCGCTAATTGATTGCCTAGAGGATGAGCAACATATGCAAGACAACAAAATTACATATGCATGTGTGTATGTGCGGTTAAGTCAAGTGCGTAGAAAATGCATTCAATGCGTAAGCACTTGATTGCAGCAGCATTAAAGCGCATTAATTAGCTTGAAGTAATGCTTATTGGAGTTTATGTTTTTTTTTAATATGCCATGTTATGTAAGGTAAGACATTGTTGCAGCTTTACATGGATACATTGAAATACGGTCAAATAACTTCATTTGATATATAACGCAGAGTTGTGAGAAAATGTTTTTGTGGTCGGTCAACGATGTGAAGTTAATTTTTTTATTTTATTTTATTTTTTTATTTATTCCAGTTTTTTTACTTTATTTCAATTGAATTTATTTTGTTTCAATTTATTGTAATGTATCTTATATTATATAATACTTTTAATTTAATTTTTCGTAATTATTTTTTTACTTATTTTTTTTAAATAGTGTTCTGCTTAATTTATATTATTTTGACTTAATTTTTTTTTTTTATATTAGATATTTTATGTCATTATTTTCTATATTTTATTTTAAATTAGTTAATTTTATTTTATTAAATGTTTCAATTTATTTGATTTTGTTTCATTTTATATTATTTAACTTAATTGTCTTTATTTTTTTAATTTAATATACATGTTTTATTATTCATTTTTCTATTTTACTTTATTTAATTTAATTTTAATTTACTTTTTTTGGTATGATTTTATTTTTAATCTTTTTTTAATTATATTTTATTGATTTAATTGTACTTCATTTATAATATTGTTTTTATTATTTATTTAATTCAATTATTTTAATCTATTTAAATTTATTTTTATTTTTAGGTTATTTTGTTATTTTATATCATTTTATTTAATTTAATTAAAATTTTTTATTTTATTGTATTTTGTTTTAGTTTATTTTATTTTGTTTTATTTATATTATTTTAATTTATATAATTTAATTTTCTCTCATTTTTTTTTGTTTTATACTATATTACTTTATTTTTTTGTTTGATTTAATTTAATTTAATTATATTTTTTTTTTTTTTTTATNTATTATTTTATTTTATTTTATTTTTTTAAATTTTATTTTATTATGATATACTTAATTTATTTATTTATTTCCGCAAATTAAACCATTTAAATATATTTGAGTAGTATTAATTGAACTATCAATGGCATATCGAGAGTGCAATTGAATGCGTTTGTAAATTGAGCACTTTCTCCCATCACTCTTCTACTCATTTCCAGTATCCTCCGCATTTGATGGTCAACACGCTTTGAGTCAATTTTATAGCCACCGGCATTATTGTCTTTGCTCCAACAGGTGTCCACTCCATATGTGAGTGCATTGCTCCCCACTCGTTTTAGAGTTTTTGTCAAATCAAATGTATTTTGCCTTAATTATTTACAAAGCATTTGTAGTGGGCATGGGTGTGTTGCGTCAGGTGCACACCATGGCGCTGTTGTTGGTATGGTTGACAAGTGTATGGTCAAGGTGGCCCACCTATGAGCGGTGAATTAGCATAGGAGTGTTGAAAACTAAATATATTAAAAAATTAAAGTTATAATAAACATGTATGTGTGCATGTAGATATCAATAGCAGATTTAATTTGCATAAATTGATCTGTCTACGATTTGGTAGATGATAAAATTTTTTGAACAGAAAATCTTTTGTTGTTAAATTTATGTACCGGAATGTTATTGTATTTGTTGAAAAGTTGTATTCTTTGTCTCGGCAGGAAGTGAATTAATGTAATATATAAAATATATATATTTTTCCTTGCGTAGGTGAGAAATACACACCTGGCTTTTGAGAAAAGCGATTTCATGGTAGGGAATTGGTATTATTAGATAGTCGATGAGGCAAGTTGTAGTACTAGAAAAAGTAAGGTTAGAATAGGTAGAATTAGCTCAGATTAACGTAAGAGATACTCTATATGACTTGATCACATTGGCAGACCGATATTCTCCTGTAAGCCGAATCGTAGTCCATCTTTGAACCCAAGTCCTTTTTCAAATGTTTTTCGGAAGGCTGGGTGAAATATACGATTAATATATATTTAATTTCGCCTCTTAATAAGTTGCATCCTCACAATACCAATTACAAATGAGTCTCAGCTAAGCTTCTATATTATTTCTAATCTGAATTTCGGTCTTTCTTGTGTCTTCATCTAATTTTTTTTCAGTCATTCAGCCCAACAGTGTCAAGCTTTTAATTTCATTTCTCATAATGAGAAGTTTAGTGAAATCGATGGAATTTATACGATTTTCTAAGGGAAAATTGGCAACGTTGCACCAACAATTAATCAATATTTCATTGGTAATAATGCTCGGGAAATTGAACACTAGCGACTTCTTATGCTTAAAAAACATAAGCTTTTTTGCAAAAAACACCAACATTGCGGAAAAGTCGCAACGTTGCAAAAATAACTAAAAAATCTTCCTCGACACGAGAAGATTTATTCAGAGACAATTGTCTGCACTGCTAAATAACTAAAGACATTAAAGTGAAAAAAATACAATAAATAAATTTACATATAGGAAATCTACTGGAAATATGTGAAACAAATGAGAAATTACATATTTTTTATTTCAGGAATTAAGTATTTTAAGTTTTTTAAGCTCTATATTTCATTTGATTTTTAATTTTAGTTCTAATTTTAATTGTAATATTAACTTAATTTTTAATTTTAGTTTTGACTTAAGCTTTTAATTTAAATTTAGTTTTTTTAGTTTTATTTTGAATATTTTCAATATTAATTTAAATTTTTTTTTTTTAATTTTATTTTACCTTTTGTTTCAGCTTAAGCTTTAATTTAATCTTAAGTTTTTCAATTTTAATTAATTATTAATTAATTTTAATTTTAATTTTAATTTCAATTTTAGTTAATTATAACTTTGTTTTTAATTATAATTTTAGTTCTAACTTTAATTTTAACTTTAATTTTAATTTTAATTTTAATTTTTATTTTTATTTTAATTTTATTTAGTTATATTTTTATTTTTAATTACAATTTTAGTTCTAACTTTAATTTTAATTATAATTGAAATCAAAATTAATTTTTTTATGTAATTTTTATATGAATTTAATCTATTTTAAATAAAGGAAGCATTTCTTACTCAAAATAATAGCCATGATTTTCACACTCACTCACATAATTGAGACACACTCATTTTTGTACTCACTCACATCACAAGAATCCCAAGCTCACTGCAACCAATTGCCACAATGCAGATAACAGTTGAGTATTTGACGGCAACGCGAGCAGTTTAAACGAAAGTAAATAGCGCTTAAATGTACGTAAACGAAGTGAAACAGTTAAGAAAACTGGCTGTGAAGTAACAAATACAAAGTGATTGGCTTAAAGCATAGTGAAGTGAGTAATGAAGTGGGGCAAATTGAAAAACGGCCAAGACCCAGAAAGTGCAGCAGCGAAACGAGTCAATAAAGTCAATAGTATATGCGAGAATAATAATAACAACAACAACTTGCAGAGACTAAGAAGCGAGCGAGTCTTGACAAGCGAGCATTGCGCATAGAGCAATAAAACCGTTAAAATGCGTATAAATATATGAATTTATTTGCAAGAAAATAAAAAATAAAAAATGTTTGTGCGTTTGTGCGTTTTGTTTGTGGGTTTGACTATCAATTGAACAAATTTCAAATGAAAAGTTAATGATTTGTTTTGTGTTTTTTTTTGTTGTCATTTGTGTCTTTAACTACGGCACTACGCATGCCAATCGGAGCGATGTAATGAAAGCGGGCTTTATTTAGCAAATGTTTTTTTTAGTGAATGCCTTTTGTTGTTGCTTTATGTATATATATTTATTATTATAATTTTTTTTTTTTCCATTTACTAAAAAGGCATAACTGAATTGGTTGAGTGACGATGATGGCTATTGGTGCATTTTATCGGTAGCCACAACAATGTCTTTGAGGACAGTTGATCACTGGCAACGCTCGAATGCTTCGAATTCGATTAAGACTTCGATCTGCTATGCTTGACGTTCACTTGGTCAAGAGTTTAGTGGGAAAATGATATAAATCAACGATAATTAATGGTGTGATGCTGAAAGAGTGCGTAAAAAACGACACAAATTAATATACAAAAGAAAACTTCAAATAAATAGAAAAAATAAAATTTTATTATTAAACATTTTTAATAAAAATTTGCCAATTACAATAAATGTGCTAATTGGACTTTTATGTAAAAATGGCAGAAAATCAAAAGTGAAAGTGTTTGCATAAGAAATGTGTGAAGAAATAAATAACTAAAAATTATTGATTTTTGTAAATGACAAAAACAACAAAAACATATAAAAACGGAGTGAAATAGAAATCCACAAAAGAAAGAAATTTTTTTTCAGTACTGTAAACTAACCTTATAACTAAGAAAAATAGGATTGAGTAATATAAAAATAATGAACATAAAATTAGATAAAATAAAAAATTGATATAAAAAAATATAGTCAAATAAAATCAAATATAGAAAAAATTAAATATAATAGTTGGTAAAGAAAAACATTAACAATAAAATAAAATAACTTAACTTATCTTAATTAACTCTAATTTAAAAAGTAGAATCAAATAATATACAAAATTAAAATAATATAAAAATTATAAGAAACGGAGAGGAAATAAAAAAATAATAAATGAATATAATTAATTAAATGAATCAACATTTTTAAATAAAATTCAGCAAGCAAAGCAGGATACTTATATGAAAAACAATCAAATTAACAAAATAAAACATAACTAAAAAAATTAAAAATTTAATAAATAACAAAAACAATATACAATAAAGTAAAGCAAAAAGTATAAACAAATTTTGAAAATTTTGAAAGTAGAAAATATATCCTTATTTGAAGGAAACTATTAAAACTGGAATTAAAATAAAAAAAAAAAAAACAAAAAAAAAAAATAAATTAAAGTAAAATGAAATAATGATAATATAAAAAAAAATCAAAAAACGTTAAACAAAATTCGAAAAAAATTGAAAAGAAAAAAAAATAAAATAATATAAAAGAACAAAACAAAATAAAATGAGATAAACTAAAGAAAATAAATTTAAAGAATATGAAAAGAGAAAATAAAATAAAATAAAATAATATAAAATAGAACAACATAAAATAAAGTAAAATAAAATTTAAAACATATGAAAAAAGAAATAAAATAAAATAATATAGAAAAGAACAAAATAAAAAAAAGAAAAAATAACGCAAAAAATTAAAAATAAAACAAAACAAAATAAATGAAGTAAAATAAAATAAAAAAAGATTATATTAAATAAATATAAAATAAAATTAAACGAAATAAAATAAACTGAGATAAATTAAAATAAAAAATATAATACATACAATAAAGTAAAATACACTAAATTAAAAAAAAATAATAAAACGAAAAATTAAATGAAACTGAATTAAATTAAATTGCATTAAATTACATGAAATAAAATAAAACAAAAAAAAACTATTAAACTAAAATGATATATAATAAATGGATATTAAATAAAATAAAATAAATTAAAATAAAATAAAGTTAGATAAAATAAACAAAAAACAAATAAAATAAAATAAAACAAAATAAGATAAAATTAAATTAATTTAAATTAAGAGAAATAAAATAAGATAAAATAAAATATAAAATTATAAAAAATGCCATAAAATAAAACAAAATAACTGAGATAAAATAAAGCTAAAAATAAAAATTTGAATTAAAATGAAATTTAATAAAATGAGATAAAACAAATTAAAATAAAATAAAGTCAGGTAAATAAAACTAAAATATTGCGAAATGAGTTAAAATAAAATAAAAACAGAATAAATTAAAAAATAACATGAAATACATTTGCATAAAAATTATAGAAACATATTTAAATGGAAAAATACGGCAGAGAATTATTTAATATTACGAGTATATTTTTGACATGAAATAAAAACTCTTAAAATTATAAATAAAGAAATGAAAATAAAGGAAATAATACAATAAAAAAATAAATATATATCCACGAAATATAATAAATTAAAATTAAATTACAAAAAATTAAATAAAACCAAATCAATCAAAACGAATGCAGAAAAAATGCATAAAAGGAGCATTTATCTATTTCGTTGCAACTCACAATAACTGCGCAGTAACGAATTTTTAACGAGCTTGCCACAATTCCAAATGGAAAACAAGCGCTCTACACATTACTCATACGCCACCGGTTATACAACGGCATTTGGCAATAAGATAATTTGCTGTTTTAGCCGCGAAAAATTGAAAGGCATGGTTTATATACATATACATATGTACAAACATACTACGTAATGTTAACAAACAAAAAAAAACACTTTTGCACACCAAAAACGGACTAAAAACGAAAAATAAATTAATAAAAATAAAATAAAATAAACGAAAATAGAAAATTCGAAAGGAGTGTCTGATCCAGTGACCAGAAACAGACCGACCGGTCATTAAAAAAAATGCAAAAGCAACGCAATGGCGAATAGTGTAATTGTACAATGCAATGCAGTGGCAAAAAGTGCAAAAAAATATTGCAAAATTTAAGTGATTTGTACATTCGTTTATTATTTATTTATTTACTTTTTTTTCAAGTGTGTGCTTAGTGACAAACACTTTTACGTAAACAATAATAGTTATTTTTAGTATATATGTATATTTGTATTTTTATCGTGTCGTGGCAATAAAATCAGACTATCGGCTGTCATAAAGCGCATGCGTGTGCCGACATAACACTTCTCACCAATAAGGCTGCGTTGTAAATTCCAACGATTGGCTAACCAAACCGACGATTATGAGACAAATAAATGCACATACTCACTTATATAGTATACATATGTATGTGATTTTAACTACGTCTTTAAAATTTCTTTTGTGCGAAATTTAATTACTTTGCGTTAAATATTTTTTTCTTTGCTTGATTTTAGAGTGAAAAAAATTATCAATTTGTTTTCTCACTCGTTCGCTCGTTCGATAAGGAAATCCGCGTGTGCATCGTAAATTGTCTAATACTGCAACAAGACAAGCATTACGAGATTGCCAACATATCCAATATGTGTTGCTGCCACACGACATAAAAACCGCATGGCAATTTTTTTACAGCTACGCTTAGTTGCTGAGATACTTAAGTGTTGTTGTTTATCTTTTGTTTTAATTCATTTGGCTTTGTGTAAATATTTGTCTTAGTGCCTCGTTTGTTTGATTGCTTTTCTTGTTTTTACAACATAGCACTTACAGCTATATATATATGTACATATACAACTATATATTGTTTGTAGTTGATTTATAATTGCACAAAAGCGATACCAAACCACAAGAAATCGATACTGTAGGAAAAACAAATACCGTTAATTAAAACTCATACACATTTAATTTTAATGCAAAAAAACATAACTCGTCACCAATAATAACAACAAAAAGTAGTTGCAACAACCGCCAACAAAAGCTGCAAGAGGGAACTGGATTCAATTTCTCAAGCGGTAAGTCATTGTAATTTGTAGCAATTGTTGCTGTTGCCCGCATAAGGATGCAGCTAAGTGTGGAAAAGTACTGGCACTGCGTACAAAAAGAATGGGAAATTGATTTGAAAAAAAGCGAAAAATTAAACATGTTTTGATTTAAATATAATATACGTGGGAATAAATTTATAAGCTGGTGATTATCTAAGCGAAATAAAAATGAATTATGTATTATAGAATCAATGATCTCCATTTTTGCCAACCGTACAAAACATGTTAAAACGATTTCAGAAAACATATCAGTTGATATATAAATAATTACAGCAAAATAAAATAAATTAAAAAAAAAAAAACTTAAAGAAAAATAAAATTAAATAATATTAAATAAAATAAAAAAAATATAATTAAAATAAAATAAATTGAAATAAAATTAAAATAATATATATTAAATTTAAATAAAGTAACAAAAAATAAATAATATATAACAAAATAACATAATTTAAACTAATAATAATTAAACCAATAAAAAATAAAGTTATTTAATGGAAAGCAAAATAAAATAAAAAAATAAAAATAAAATAATAAAAGAAAATAAAATAATATTAAACAAAATAAAATGAAATAATATTAAATAAAATAAAAGAAAATAAAACGAAATAAAATAAAATTAATAAATTGAAAAAAAAATTATTAATTATTAATATCATTTTATATTAAGTAAAGAAAAATAAAATAAAAATGAAAGTAAAATAAAATCAAATTAAAAAAATGTAAAAAAATAGAATTAAAAAATAAAAAAACTAATCAAAATAAAATAACTTTAAAGGAAAAAATATAAAACAAGTTAAAAATAATATAAAATAATGAAATAAAATAAAATAAAAAAAAATAAAATGAACAAATATAAAATTATATTAAATAAAGTTAAATAAAATAAAATAAAATAAAATGAACTAAAATAAGATAAAACAAAATAAAATAAACAAAAATAAAATAAAATAAAATGAATAAAAAAAATAAAAAAAAATAAAATAAAACAAATTAAAATAAAAAAAACATAAAACAAAACTAAGAAAAGTAAAAACAGAATGAAATAAAATTAAATGAAGTTAATTAAAATAAAATAAAATAAAATAAAATAAAATACAAATAAAATAAGATAAAACAAAATAAAATAAAGGAGGTTTGCACGGTTTAAAAGTGGCAATTTCGACTTAGACGACGGACAGCAAAGAAAAATTTCATGAGGAAAAATTGGAGACATTGTTAGAAGAAGATGCATGCCAGACGCAGGAAGAACTTGCAAAAGCATTAGAAGTTGATCAACCAACCGTTTCTAGACAATTAAAATCATTTTTTCACAATAAAGCCTTAATTTTCGAAAATAATCGGAATAAAATGATTTAAACTAAATTATAATGGGATTAAATCAAATAAAACGGAATAAAAAAAATTAAAATAAAATTAAAATTAAATAAAAAATTTAAATGAAATAAAATAAAATAAAAAGAAAAGATAAACAAAAAAAAAGATATAAAATTAAAGAAAATGAAGTAAAAAATATGCATGACAAGTCCGATCAACTTTAGAAAGAACTTGAAAGAAAGGAAAACCTTGTTTGTCATCCCCATGAGATATTTTACTTTACAAAATAATTTTAAACAAATTTTGAAATTAATTAATATAAAAAAATGGCATAAAATAGACATTAAAACGAGAAGGCAATATTATCGACATATTTTACGGTGTTACATTTGCTGTTTCCTGACAATAAGTATATATACAAAAGCACAATAGGGACATACGCTACACGAGTAACAACTTTCACATCTCTTTCAAAACTCGTTTAAAATTTGACGTTTGATGGAAATTTCCTGTAAATCTACAATTTGAATACAAGCAAATATTCAATATTTGTGTATATTAAATATGACACAGGACTTCGCATTTCTTTCACTTTGTATTGATACTAACACTAATTTTCTGAAAGTATATTTAAAATGATTTATTATTTAATATTGGAGAAAAAAATGTTGAGCCACAAAAGCGATTACTAGTACAAGTACCGCACTACAGAAAAAAATATAGCTTTTGTTTTGTTATTAACAAAAGTATATAAATAAAAAATACATAAAAACCCAAAACTGATAATTCACAATTTTCTCGCGTTTTTGCAAATTGAGGGAAATGCACATGATGGTAATAAATAACTGAAATATTTTTTATATGAAATGTGCAAACATACAAATACACGTAGAAAACTTGTTTAGTCAAACGAAAGACTTAAGCGACAAACGCGTTTCATTTGTATAATTCCGTTAATTTGCGGTTTTAGTGCGGATGTCATTAATTTTATTTTCTTTTTTTTCGGATCAATAAAGGTGGAAATTTAACATTTAAAATTTTCAGACGTCACAATTTAAATAAAATAAATTTTTTCAAATATTTTCTTTAAATTAAATAAAGTAAAATAAATTAAAAAAATAAATAAATTAAAATTTAATAAAATAATATATAATACAATAAAATAAAGTAAAATAAAAAAAAATAACAAACAAAAAATAATAAAAAGAGAAAAAAAATAACGCAAAATAAGATAAAATACAATAAAATAAGATTAAATTAAATTAAATTAGAATCAATATAATAAATTATATGAAAAAATAATAAAATAAAATAGGAAAAAAAATAGAAAAAAAAAATTCTATAATAGCACAAAAAAAGTAAAATACGAAATAACAAAATAAAAAAGGAAAAATTGACATAAAATAAAACAAAATAAATTAAAATAAAATAAAATAAAATAAAATAAAATAAAATAAAATCAAATACAATAAAATAAAATAAAATAAAATAAAATAAAATAAAATAAAATAAAATAAAATAAAATAAAATAAAATAAAATAAAATAAAATAGAAAAAAATAAAATAGAAAAAGCAAACAAAAAAAATTCAATAATAGCAAAAAAAAGCAAAATAAGAAATAACAAAATAAAAAAAGGAAAAATAGACATAAAAGAAAATAAAATAAGGTAAAATGCAAATAAATGAAACATATAAAAATAAAGTAAAAAACTTAAAATAAAATAAAGTGAAATAAAATAATATAAACGGAAATAAAATTAAACAAAAAAATACAGCAAACAATAAAACAAAATTAAATAAAAAAAATAAATTCAATTAAAAAATAAATAAAAATAAGACAAGATAAAATGAAAAAAAATGAAATAAAATTCAATAAATAATAACAAAATAAAATAAAGTAACCTTAAATAAATTAAAGTAAAACAAAATAAGATAAAATAATTAAAGCAAAGTTAAATTAAAAAGTAATTAAATCAAATGAAATCAACAAAAAAATATTAAATTAAAAATATAATAAAATAAAATAGATAATAATAAAAAAATTACGGTAAACAATTTTTAAAATTAAAAATTAAAGTAAAATAAAATAAAATAAAGGAAAAACACAAAAATTAAAAACAAAAAAAAACTAATATAAAATACAATAAAAGGACAAAAAATTAACAAAATAAAATAAATTAGAATGAAATAAAAAAATCATTAAAACAATAAAAAAAAACTGATGCAAAAAATTTAAGAAATGAAAAATTTTGAAGGTAAAACAATAGAAATAACTTAACAAACAAGCGTAAAACACTAAATTTTCAAGAAGGTTAATATGTACATATCGTACTCACTGGTCTCTACGTTATTGTTGTTGTTGTTGTCGAATCAAATTACGTAGACACTTTACATAATAACAATGAAAATAGTGTTCAACGCATAAAATAAACTAAAAAAAAAATAAATAAAAAAAAAAAATTCCAAAAAAAAAAACAAAAGACATGCGCACACATGCATATATTTACATATGTAAACACTCAAATAGACAAAGTCTACCAAATGAATTGTGTTGGTATTTTAATTTTTATTACGTATATGTTGAGCTATACATACTTATACACATCTAAAACACATACAAGTGGCATGTGAATGAAAAAAACTCCGCTCACCAACTAAATTAACAGAAAGTCTTAAATTCACGAAAAAATAAACCGCAGTAAATGTTCAAAAAACAAACAATGAAAAATAAAAACCAAAATGAGCCGCAACATTTAATAAAGCGTGTGTCGCTTTGTAACTATATAGTTACATATATGTATAAATATACGTGCTTACCTCCACATATGCAAATGAAAATAAAAGTGACCAAAAATGCGAAAGTCAACGCTTGAATGGAAAATAAATGCACGCATGCGTCAACAACACTTCGTCACTTGGCATTTTTTCACACACACCACACTCCACACTCTTTCTCTTCGGCCATTACTGAGCGTACATACAGTTATTATTTTTACTATTTTTTTTAACGTTATTTACATAGCTTTCAATTAAGTTTTTTTTTTCAATTATTTTTATTTATTTATTTTTTAATTTATTTTTTATTTATTTTTTATGTTTTTCCTTTTTACTGCACCTGTCCCATTGCGTGTTTTTTATGCTTTATTATTATTACAATTTTTTGCTTCTTTTCCTCTTTCGCCTTTAATTTTTTACTACGAAAAATAAGTGACACAGTCAATATGAACACACAGCTTTGCACTCCAATTTACACACTTCGGTTGAGGGCGCGGAGTGTTAAGTGAATGTGAATGTGAATGTTGAGTGTTAATGGCTGAATGATGTAGCTTTTATGGAAATTATTAATTTACATACATATATTCATAGGCAAACATATTGACGTGAATCTTTCTTACTTGTGGCTGAAAGCGACATTCTGACGCTTTCGCTTTTATTTCTAGTGACACGATCAATTGAAAGATGATAAAAAGTTGACTTCATTTTGAGATGCAAGCAAAGAGAAATGTTAACATAAGACATCGCTACTATTTTTTAGTTGCTCAAAACCTGCTCTATCCATGGTGTTTTCAAAAAATTTTTTTTTTATTTATTTACTTATTATTACAAGTTGGTGGGCGAAAGGCCTATTTGCTTGTATGATAGTATCATCTATCTTG